CTACGATTGCTTTGTAAATCCTTAGCTTTGTTTGGATGGATGTTTTGTTTGACCACAGGAGAGGGTTTTTTTATTTTTTTTATTTAATAATAATATCAGACACAAATATAAAGCATAAGCACAGCATAAGTATTTCTTGTTTGTTTACTTAAGAGATATAATGTAACGCAACAATAACTTTACTATTGATTACATTGTATAGTGTTATTCGCTCTACGTGCATCTGTTTTTCGGATAACAATAAAAAATATAATAATGCCCTATTATAACACTCCGAACTGACGATTCTATAAATCCGTGCGGTCGTGCCGGCCTACTTAGCGGCATGATTTACCGAAAATCCCTTTTGATTCGGGGTTGCCAGATGTCGAGTAGCGGGATTTTCCTAAACCTCAGGTTTATAGTTCCGTCCGTATTTCGAGGGCTCGCTGATTAGTCTAGGTAAATCGTAAAAAATACTAATATATTGTGTCTGTGCCCCACGAAAAAAAAAATACATAAACGAGTGAGTCATTTTGGGTGGATTGGTGTATCAATAGGGCATATCGGGCTTTTGTGGTAGTTATTGGCAATTGAGAGGTACTTTTAACAATGTCGTGATTAATAGTGATGACGTAATTTTTTGGTTACCTATTTCTTTCATGGGAGACAAAGATAACAAATTTTTCAATAATCCTGTTATTGATTATAAATTTGTTTTCCATCAATAAATATTTTTGGGATTTGTTGTGTCATATAACCTCTCTTCATCGAAATTATGAATGAAAAAAAATATTTTTGGTATATACTTTTGGTACTATCTAATTTTTGTTCAATGATAGTGCAGTTTGTCAATCAGCAAGCAAGAAACAAGAAATGGTTTTCAAAAGTAAAATCGATAAAAATAGAGTTTTTTAATGAAAATAATATCAAATTATTAAGTAATCATGAGAAAATCGAAAATGCAGTGAGAAAATTGAAAAAACATGAATACAAAAAAAATAAGTTAAAATTCACATGAAACAACATAAACCAACTTAATTAAATTAAAAAAAAACGCCTATAAACACGTAACAAAATATAACTAATATATTCAACAGCATTAAATTAATAAAAAATAATTTATTTATAAACTTCAATAATTGGTAATGAATATTATAGGAACTTCAAAAGAGATAAGAAGTACGCGCAATAGCAAATATAACTCTTCCAAATTTGACGCTAGTTGAAGGAAAGATGGAAGATGATCATATGCTTTAGACAAATATCGCCCAGGATCTTATGTAGACAATTTTCTAAAATGGGACATGTATATCGACGCTTTGTCGAAAAAATTAAGCTCTGCCTGTTTTGCATTAAGATCTGTTTCTAAGGAGCTTAAAGTGACTAGAACTGTTTATTATGCACTTTTTGAGTCGCACCTCTGATATGCCCTTCCATTCTGGAATACGTGTTGTGCAATTTGACCGCATTTTCAAGCTCCAGAAGAGAGCTGTTCGATATTCACTTGTAGCGTTTTATTTTTCTTTTTATAAAATTCCAAATTTTAATATTGCTGGCGCCATCTATTCGCTAGATGTTAAACTTCATTCAGTACAGGTAGCGGTTCCTTTCCATAAAATCAAATTTCATTCAGTATAGACGATAGAGTTCGCTTAATTGCCTTTGGTCATATGACCTGTCAATTCGAAGACTTCCGTTTTGCGAAAAGGAGGAAGGAGACTTTTTCCGAGAGATTGAGATCAGAAAAAGACGCGTGGTTCAGCGTCCGACACTTGCCTTGTGAAATCAAATCCATAACATCATTTTCTTCATTTCGCAAAGCATTGAAATCTTATTTACTAGACAAGGCTTTCTACGCCGTAAATGACTTATATTTTGATAATCGAATTTGATCTTGTAAACACTGGTCTAATATTTGCTATTACTATATTTACTATAAACTTACTAAATATTTTTGAATCTTATTTTTATTTTTTTATTCTTTCACATTTATATTTTAAACAATAAGACTGACAATGTAATTTGTATATTTGTTTTGTATTCTCTTTTGTTTGTTTACTTTACCTTTGTCTACAAATTGTAAAATTTTTTGACAATAAAGGTATTTATTTATTTATTTGTTTATCTTACAATAGTGCCAATTAAACGTCGAAATATTAGTTTGCTGGCTGTTCTCAGAAAATCTAATTTCCGTTTAGCTTGTTAACACGTTTACTAGGGATTACTGTGAGAACAAGTCTATAGTAAAACTCGGTACCACCTATAAATATGTCACATGTTTCTTACACAACGTAGACACTTAACACCAGATGTAGAAGATTTTTAATTTAATAGCACCAGTTTCTCTGGAACAAAGGCAAACAAATGTATTATGCAATTAGACATGTATTATAGAAAACTTTTGTAACAAAAATTAAGGTTTTAAATATGTTTAAATATTGTGCCGATTTCCAATAATTTAGAACAGATCTATGGAACAAAATACAGTCAATTAAAAAAAATTGAAGACATTTTTATCTAGATAAGGTGCCCTATAAATATTTGTTGACTAAATACGCACTATATATTTTTAGTTAGCATTGTTATAAAAAAATGTGAAATTCATTTAAAAAATGTGGGTGATGTAACAAATGTGATCCATACAACAGAATTGTAAGTTCCAATATCATCAGGTTTCTATGTTTAGGCATTTACAATTTACAGAATATATATTTATACATTTTTATTTTAGAAATACAGACATTATTATCGTGGTAACTTTGGTCCTAATTAAAATATAAATAAATAAAAGAGAGAAAATGTTAAGACAAGTTTTGGAAGACAAGTAAAATAAAAACATTTTCCGTGATGAATGGAACTAGGCTTCAACAATCCATAAAAGAAACAAAAACTTTATCGAGTACAAGTGGCAGCGAATGAAATTGAAATCCGACAAACCTAGTATAGTACTAGAGCTGCGTTCCAATATATTTAATTTTTGTTTTATTATGATGGATATACATTAGAGTTTCTGGTATTTCGGCTTTTTTATTTCTCAAGGCACGAAAATTCTTGGCTCAAGTTTCGTTTACTTGAAATTAGTTATGTAAAAAATATTTGTATATGTACTATTTGGAAGCCTTTTCAAATAGTATGTCATAAAACTTTTTCTGCGGAAATGCATCCTTTGCGAGTTTTTCAACGTTTAGAATAGCTGAAATTAGGGCTACTTTCGTTTACTAGAAATTAGTTATGTAAGAAATATTTGTTTATTTGGTATTTGGAAGCCTTTTCGAATAGCATGTCACAAAAAAATTTCACTTTTTCAACTTTAGAATACCTGAAACCAGTTACATAAAAATACGTTTCTGTTTTTCATTCTATAAATTTTTCTAAACATAAACACACAAAGAAACTTCTTGCGGAAGTGTGCCATTTTCATTTATTGATAAAATATTGTAAAATATAGCAAGATTTGGAAAGTACTCGGCAATTGGAATTCGTAAACAGACGCGTTTTAGCTTACAGCGTGTTTTGATTGCTTTGGTTAGGTTTGTTTTGGTTTGATTTGTTGGTTTATTTTTGTTTATTTTCATTTATTTCTCGGTACGGTATTAATGTGTAAATTACAGTATCTACTACGAGTAGGTTAAGCTCATACCTACACAGGAAAAGTGTTTAGAATGTAAAATAGGAACACGTTTTTATGTAACTGATTTCAGTTATTCTAATGTCGGAAAAAAGACAATAATAGATTTCCTCAGAGAAAGTTTCATAATTTTGTGTTTGGGTAGGCTTCTATATACTGGATGCTATGTTATTTTTTTTACAAGTGATTTCAAGTAAAAAAAACTTCGAATTCTCGACTAGAATTTTCCGAGTTTATCAGGTTTCTCGCGTATCTCGAGAAATTTTGAAATTTTTAATAAAAGACGATGAAATTTTTAAATGTTTGCTTTATTACAAAAATTGGACTAATATGAGATCAGTTATGTTGCATATAAAATGATATATTTTTAGTTACCTTAAAAAAACTAAAAAACAATAATTATTCAAAAAAAATAAAAAAATTAACAGACTGACAGGGATTAAGTAATCAAATCCCTGTCAGTCTGTTAATTTTTTTATTTTTTTACTTACACTTACAATATCTCTACACAAGTATACTCTGCTTTAAAACTCATGAAACATTTTGACAGACGATGACAGAAATGATGAAAAGAGCGTGACATGACGGCCATACCAATCCATTTATTTTGCTAATAAAGGAAGGAAGGGTTTATATAAAAATCCGTCATGGCGTCTTCTCTTGTTGTTTGAAACCAGTCTTATTAGATTAGTTCAAAAGTGACAGATCATATTGCAATATGATTGGAGTGACGGGGTGACGGAACGATGAACAACGCACGGACGCAGATGCGTATGAACTATGAACTCGACTTAAAATTTTTGAAACTTGTCAAACTCTTGTCAAATTAAAGATTAATATCTGTGTTAAATTATGCCAAATAATCGGTGTTCTGAAAAATGATAAATATTTGCGAAATTGCTTTTGCATTTTGATTTCTTGATTGTATTTTGATTGCATTTTGATTTGTTTGATTGACCATAAACTAATTTTTTCTCAATAAAATAACTCTATTCGATTTTTTATACAGTTTTTGTCATAATTGTGGAGGCCTTTTAGTCTCCTTATTCATAATATTTTAAAGAAATCCCATTTGTCACTAAAATTTTAAATATATAAATTTTCCGTTTTGCATTCCGGGTACATGACATTTTTCTTTATTTAATTAGAAATTGCAATCTTTGTAATTTAGGCTAGTAATAAGTAAGTACTGTAATGCGTTATATATGTATGTAAAAATTTGAATAATAATAGTAGTTTAAAGGAAGAATATTCTTAAATAAAGTAACGTCCAACATTCTGAATTATAGAACGCAGCAACAAACAGTGAGTTCGCAACTAGAGAGGGGCGATTCCAGTTCTTGTCTCCTTCGCCCATTGAATCGAATTCAGTCTCGGTTTGTCTGTTGTTAGGGAAGCTTGTGTGACTGCTCTTCGGACAACTGAAACTCACGTGCGTCGCGATACTAACGACATCCCATCTGTTTATTTTGTTTACTACTGGAGGGTCAACTGTTGGATACTTACTCGATTTGGAAAATACGAGGATTGTTCTTCTAGTTTATATTTACTCTTTCGCGTGTGAATGTGCATATAGGTATATCGGAAAAGGATATAGATACATAATATATTTCTTAGAACAAGGACTCGCTGTGCAATATTGCGTGCAATAAGGTAGTGTCCTGGGATGTTGCAGATATATCGTACGCTCCATGGGGTTGAAGATGAAGTACTTCGCAGCGGGTCATCGTGAATCGTACACGCTGATTGCTAGGAAGCGGTACATGAAGAAGCTGTAAGTTGCGGGAGTGCTTTATATTTCCTTTTTCAATGCGTGAAAATTATTTTTCTTTTGCTTTTTGGATAATGTGCAGATAAAAAACAACTGTTTTATGATTGGATACTTACAAAGAAATTAATTTGTTAACTGATATTTATCATGTTAAAAAAAGTAAATTATTCCTTTTTTCGAAAATGTTATCATTTAAGCTTTATGACGACCTTATTTGGAAATCAGTTTCAATGGTGATTTGGGTTTCCAAACCGGGATCCCGGTGTAGGTATGTTTATCCCCAAAATCCCGATATTAAATGACGGGATCGAAATTTAAATGCCAATCTAAAATGATTTGACAGTAGAATTTAAAGAAAATAAAAATTTTCCTCAAAAATACCGGTTTTAATACCTAGGTAATAGCTAAAAAATTTTTTTAGTAAACTGCAAAATATTGAAATAAAATTATGGTATTATTTGATGCCGGGGAGGAAGTTTGACAGATGACACAAGCGTATGATGACATAACCCTATACGATGCTGACGCTATTTAACGCCAATTTTTGTGGTTCTTTTACGTTTTTATATAATACGCATTTCAATTTAAAGAAAAGTGTCAGTATATTTGTCATAACTAAAATAATCTGATGATATTTTTTTTGTATTGTATTCGCGTTGTTTGTTTAAAAAAAAGTATTTTTGGCTTATATAAATATTGACATAAGATGGAGTATAAAAGATTAATATTTATTTTGCTTCCACAAAAAGTTTTTTTGTTTTCTGTTTAAGGAAAAAAAACTTTTTCTAGAAAATGCAATACTTTTAGATATTACCAGTAGGTACCTAGGTACATTCGAGGGTACATTATGCTATTTAATCTATTGTTTCAAAATCTGGTGATCAAAAATATTCCTTAAATTATAGTCCCACACGAAATCCCATATTATTATGGAAAAATAATTTAAATATCCTCAAAAAATAATCATATTATTTAATTTGTGGTTTGTTCTAACCCTCAACTGCATGGCGTGATAAATTTTTGCACCGCTTATGAATTTTTGCACCGCTGGAGTCCAACGGACCCCATTTTTTTTTTCAGTTAAAAACACATGATGAACAAATTTTATAAAAAGCTTGTTATTTTAAAACTGTTTACAATATTCAAACTTGTAAACAAACATTTTCATTAAATGCGGACAAAAAACATTTAAATAAACAGGAATATATTTTATACCTCGACTTGACGAGTACGTCACCGCAAATCGCTCCGCCCACTCATTTTATTGGCTACTTACAAATTTGTCGAATTTTTATTGATGGGACTCGTCGTCTAATTTTTTACGAAAAACATCGAGAGAATATCGTTTCCCCTCTCACGGATACCCCGTAGCCACAGAACGGACAGACGTACTGTACTAACTTTTTCAAATACAGTTCATGCTAATATACAGTTCATCTGCTGGATCTGTGTCTATGAAAGGAATGCGGACAAAAAACATTTAAATAAACAGCAATATATTTTATACGTCGACTTGACGAGTACGTCACCGCAAATCGCTCCGCCCACTCATTTTATTGGCTACTTGCAAATTTGTCGAATTTTTATTGATAGGATGCGTCGTCTAATTTTTTACGAAAAACATCGAGAGAATATCATTTCCCCTCTCACGGATACCCCGTAGCCATAGAATGGACAGACGCACTGTAGGATCTGTAACTGCTGCTCATGGATCGTACACATTTGATTCATGAGATTTTTTTTTTCATTTCTTCGTTGACATATGGTTGACATATCCACATCTATTTCTTTTCTGGTATTGATTATTCAATTTTATCTCTTCTATAAGTAAGAGTTTCAGAATCGGAGTTATGGTTACTCTTCGAGAAAAATCAATGTCTCGATGATCTTCATCTCACTTAAGCCTCTTTAAGCTCATCAAACCACTCAATTAATGCTTCCTCAAAATTAGCGTCTCAGTGAGGCACACTTTTTAAACTACCCACCAACCTAATAATAAAACATTCTTGGCGTGGTAGTGCCACACAGACCCCAATGAAACTTTAGCCCCCGCTGGTATGAACAATACTTGATAAAATCAAGTGCGCCTTTAACAGTTGCAGATTGCATATTAATTAAATTAATCGAGTCTTATTAATCAAATTAATCTAGTCAAATAATAATAATAGTTAGTTTCTAAATACTATACAAGGTGAGTTTACTACGATGTTCTCTATGGGTATCTCGGAAACTACTGGAGATAGAGAGTCGGTTAAATGGGGAAAGAATTGCAGTTTTGTGGGGTCATAAATATGCGCCTTTCGGATTTTTCGGAGAAGTTCAAGGCTTACTAGACATTTCGAAAAAAATAAATTTTGGCTATTATAAAACTTGTCTCTAATTCCATTATAATCTACCGTATAATCGAATAAAAACGGCGTCAGCGATGGCTATGAAATGAAGATCGTTGTCATTTTATATGTAAAGTTATATGGGAAATATCATCGATCGATAAAAGTTGTAGATAATACCTAGTGAGTATGTGTTTTCTGTTTTTTTTTCTAAAGCCTGTCATTTTTGACATATGACACAAACATTATGTTTTTTTTAAATGGAAACCCTAGTTGGCCATGACTTCATAAAAAGCGCCATTCTTTAAGCTTTTCAGCGATATAGGTATAATATGTTTTTTTTCAAAAAATTACAAGTTATAGCCAATTCTTTTTTTTCTTGGCTAATTCCCATACCAATAATACCATACCAATTAGTTGGCATCAAAAATGTAAAAAGTTTTATGTTTTCAAAAAAAAAATATCGTAAAATTCGTAAAGCACCCAATTTAGAATAAAATAATCTAAGAATGAAATGATTCTTTTATAAACCTGCATTAAATCAAATTAAAATAGGTATGTAACTTTTTTTTAAATATTTATTAATAGCAATTAGCATTATCATAAATTATAAATAATGGACCAACATATCGAAATAATAATTTCTTTGTTAATACGGTTTAGAATTCTTAAAATAACAGGCAAAAATAATCCACAATTTACAATAAAATAAAAGTTTCGTTTAAATTTCTTAATCAGCTGATCACTATTAAAGTTCGCAGAAACCGGGGGCTATATCATTACATTACTTTGAGGAATATAACGAAAATAATCGATATTTTTGACTCCGCCCCGAAAGGTTCACGATTTGTCCTCCAGTTGGCAGCACATTTTGTCTAGTCGGTTGAACAACTTTAAGAATATATAAACAAGGGTATTAACCACGCTAGTGTTGTTCTACTGGGCTACAATAAATTTTAATTCAATATAGTCAACTCAGTAATAATTAGTTAACTAATAATTAACTCAGTAGTAATTATCGAAATATATTGATAAAATTCTATTTTCTATACAAAACCATTCTAAAAGCACTGATATATTAAAAAACTATTTTAAAACTGGTTAAAACCGAACTTAAAACCCATGATCATTTATCCAAACTCGTTCAAAATAAAGAGCCCAGAAAAAATTTCAACTAAACAGAAACCGGCAGGTAAAACACATAATCGCGCTAACAATAGTGGCAACAACAAAGAATCAAGGCTTTTTTGTGATGTAATGGCGTAATAAATGACTTGTTACCGGCTTATACGCTACTCTTTTTAATTATTAGACCAAACAAACTTGTAGAGTAATCAAGTTGCCGGTATATGGACACAATGACCGGTTATACAGAACAGCGTTGGAGTATGTGGTGTGGTACCATACTTTAATCCGTATTATTATTTGCATTCATTTGCTTGGCTATAGTTCTAGATTGCTTTATGTTTTATTTTGTAATATGTATACACTGGTGTATATACTTTCTTTTGTATCAATTCTGAAAAATATTTATTCGTACCTATATTAATTCATAATAAAGAAAAAATATACGAATTTTGCACAGATCTTTACTAAAATCTATGGCACGAATGGTTATTCTAGAAATGAGATGTTCTAGTGTTTCCCTATTTTCCAGAATCTGCATTCGCCGTTGTTTCTTAGTTTCAATCTACTGAGATGTTGATTGAAGAGACAGTGTCCTGTTAAACACCCCGTGACAATCCGAAGATTGTTCTTGCTTAAATCAAGGAAAATCTTTAATTTTTCTTGATCGTAAATTCTGAGAAATTTCTTCCTGTGTCTTAGACCGTTGGAGGATTCCCATTCCAAGTTATGGATGGAGTCGTCCAAGTTTCTCTTTAAGTTCGTTTCCACTTGGTAAGCAGAATGGTTCTTGTGCATTTAGTGGTGTGTTCGCTTCTTTTTTAGCGAGATCGTTTGCTTATTGTTCTTGTTTAAATCAAGAAAAATCTTAAATTTTTTTAACCGTAAGTTCTGAGAAATTTCTTCCTGTTTTTTAGACCGTTGGAGGATTCCCATTCCAGATTACGGATGGAGTCCAGGTTCTTAAGTTCCTCTTTAAGTTCGTTTCCACTTGGTAAGCAGAACGGTTCTTGTCCATTTAGTGGAGTGTTCGCTCCTTTCTTAGTGCGATCGTTTGCTTTTTAATTGCCTTCTATCCCTTGGTGGGTTGATACTTGATATACCCAGAGTAGGAAGACTTTATTTTCTTTGCTTAATTTGTTCGGCTTCTCTAGACATTCTTTGATCAACTTTGAATCGATCTTTACTGTGTTGATCGCAATTTATTTATTTATTTATTTATACTCCCAATAAACACAATATTAATGGTTGTAATTACATATTGAGAGTTGAACACAATAAACTTAAAATTTACAAAAGAAAGAAAATAAACATATATAACAGATTTAAAAGACAACTAGTTAATAAACAAAAAATATAACATAAAGAGGAGATAGGAACGTTACTAAAAATTAAAATGCCCCCTCAACTAGTTAACACAAAATAAATAAGATTACCTGTCTTATTCTTCTACTTTCTAGTGACACAAATCCAAAAGTATCGAGCATGAATAAATAAATGCCTTTATTGTCAAAAAATTTTACAATTTGTAGACAAAGGTACAGTAAA